TGTTTTTTTTTTTTTTTCTTTTTTTTTTTTTTTTTTTTTTTTTTTTTTGCTATAGGGCGCATGCACTCGCCAGAAACCAGAAAGACAGAGAGAGACAGAGAGACAGAAAGCGAGAAATCACCCCCCCAGGGGAGATGGCCACTCCTTTCTCCTCTTGGGATCTTGGGCACGCACACACACACACACCTGGTGTGAGTTTAAGCCACCAGGTCTGGGACTCGAACCGCGGTCGACTACATGGGAGTCCAGTGACAGCCATTATGCTAACTGCTGGTCCCCCAGAGTGATTTTCAATCCACCAGGTCTAGGACTTGAACCATGCAGTAGGCCATGTGGGATTCAGCACCTGAACCTCTCTACCACCTGCTGGCCCAACAAGGCACTTATTTTTCATTTGACTGAGATGATATTCAGAAGTATAATTTCCCTTCTATTTCAATTTTATAACAAAATTATGATTTAATCATTGTTACATCTATACATTTTCATGGGTATTGTTTCTTACACTAGGTTTTTTGGGGGGGCTGGGAAGCACACGCTTAAGAATAAGTCACGGAGGCATGTATGAAGCACCTAAATTTCCCCCACATCCATCTATTGGGTTGTAATAAAAGTGATGTATTTTTTTCTATACAAAAATGAGCCATGACTTTGCCGACCACCCAATATATCCTCCCTTTTGTGGGTACCAATACCCACTTTTATTGGGTCAAACTTTGCAAAATTATCTCACAATTGTTAACAATTTGTGATGGATATTTTAGTGGTTGACAATTTTATTTTATGTAGGTGACTTCACTTTTTAAATAATTACATAAAAGACTGCCATTTTCTGTTTATTTCTTTTATCGTGTCGACTTTTTTTGTTGTTTTTTCCAGCTAATCCTGAGAACGTGATGAGCTATTCTATGAGAAAGAAGAGAATAGAGAGAAAAAGGGGCAAGGGGGCATGCAGGAGAGGAGAAAGAAACAAGGGCGGATGGTCCGGGATGGATGGTCGGAAGTGGAGGCGACAATCTCTGAGTTCGTGTGACAGCCACGTGACAACGGATCTCACACGTGAACTTGGTTGGAGCACACGGTGCTCAGATATCTGGTTAAACGTCATTTCTGGGTGTGTCTGTGAGGGTGTGTTACCTGGAAGAGGCTGGCATTTGAACTGGTGGACTGAGTAAGGTAGATGGCCCTCCGGTGTGGGACAAATAGGACAAAGAGGGGGAGGAAGTCAGTGGTCTCTCTGCCCACCTGCTGGGGCTAGGACAGCCCGTCTCCTTCCCCTGCCCTCAGACTGCAATTTCCACCTCTGGTTTCCCTGGCTCTCCGTCCAGCCGACTGCAGAGCCAGGGACATCTCAGCCTCTGTGATCACATGAGTAATTGGCTTTATCTCTGTAGAGAACCCCAGCACACTCGGTGAGGCCAAGAAGTCCCGACAGGCTAAGTGATCACGTCAACAAGCTTTCTGCATCAAATGCCAAAGTCAGCATCTGCCACTGCGTCCCCTGCAAACGATCTCCAGAATTGATGTGTAGGGGAGGGATGCTTTGGGGTTCCAGACCCCGACACCAAATTCCTCGCTAGTCCCTGGGGCACAGTGGGAGTTGGCAAAGGCATGGCTGGCAGGAGATGCATGAACAGGCTGCTCACCACTGGAGGGTGCAGGGAGATCGAGCCCAGACCCAGGTGGGCTCGGTCACTCTCTGTGGCCTTCAGCAAATCTCAGCCACTCATGCTGAGGCTGTACTGTGTTCACGGTGTAGAAGTGTTGGGGTATGTGAAAACTGTAAATTCTAAGGAAATCTCAAAATGGCTTGATTTTTTATAGTATTTATTTAATTTTATTCATTCATTCATTCATTCATTCATTTTAATTTGACCAGTGAGAGACACACAGAAAGAGAAAGTGAGAAAGCAAGTCACCAGGGCCAGGACTTGCACTGTGATAGGCCATGTGGGAGTGTCCATCACCTTAACCACTAGGCCACCTGCTGGTCCCTGATTTTTTTTAATTCTGTACCTTTTATCATAGCTCACATGACACCCAGAAACCACAAGAAGCCATTGGTGAATTGAGCAAAGGAATGTTCACTGCAGGTCTCAAGTTGAATCCTCAGGGGCTTCTCCTTTAAAAATAAACCTGATGCAAATGCAGTGGTGTAAAAAAAAGATACCCAGTGACATGAGGGGTTTGGGGGGGGCGACCTTGGGGGTCAACCTTGGGGTCATCCCGGCATGGAGGAGCACTGGGCAGGCTGGCCACCTGGCTGAGTCCTCTGCCTCTTCCTGGAAACAGGTGAGCTTTGCAGCCTTGTTGGGATGGGCTGCTGAGCCTCAATGAGCCTGTCCCCTGCCTGTGCCCTGAACACACCGTCTGGCCACTGGTGACAGGATCAAGCTCTACTGGGAGGTCAGAGGGCTCAGCACAGGCTTGCGAGTTCTCACCGCTGAGACCCTTCCAGGTGGTTCTGCCATCTCCCAGGTCAAGGATGACTCAGGATTCAAAGATGGGGATGAAGCCAGTATGACCCCTCCCCTGACTGCTGTGAGCCCAGGCTTGATTGGACAGTGTTCAGGGAAGAGCCGCTTGCCCCGCCCTCCTGGAAACTTCATGCACCTGGGAAGTGTAGTTACTGCCACTGCCCTTCGGAAAGCCATCTGCAGCCCTTTTGCCTATGTTGCTGACCCTCGCAGAGACAAACGTCATCGTCCTCCATCCATGATGGGCTACCTAGGGGTTCAGAGACTGCAAATGCCCGGTATCTATACAGCACACGAGGGGAGACCCAGCACTACCCTCAGACCTCAAAGGCCCCCCATGATGAAAAGCGTCCCCTGTGGGATGACATTCCAAGTGGCTGTCACCCCACCTGACCATGTCTATGTTTAGCAGCAACCATACAGGGAAGGATCCTGGACACTCCTGGGCCCTGTCTCCACCCCTCACAGTGACCTGGGGACCTGACCGAGGGCTGGGGTGCAGGGTCCCTTCACTGGCCCCATGCCCACACCATCTGAGAGAGCTCAGCCCCAGGATGGACTGGGCACCCATTGAGGTACCAGCTCTGTCCAGGGTCTGAGCCAGCTGTGCAAGGTGGAAAGCGGCATCTGAGACCTGCAGCAGCTTCCCCACCCCTGAGCATCTGGGGATGGGTTGGAGCCAGAGGGAGAGAAGCCATACATCAGCATCTCTCTTGCTGGGCTTGAGAAAACCAATTTCCTTTCCCTGCTGCTTGCTGAGGCTGTAGGAACCTGGTCCCTTTTTAATTTAACCTGAATTAATTACAAGAGCAGAGGCAGGTGTTCCCACTCGCTTTCTCTCCCATCTCTCTTCCCTTATTTGCTTGTAAATGGCTCAGCAGCCTGTGGTGAGAGCCATCGGTTGGTACCAGGATCCAAAGATTAGGAGCCTGGCTCTGGTCTGCCGCAACCCTCAGCAGCTCGCTACTGGCTTAGAGAAAGCACTTAGGATCCCTCCAATCCTGGAAGGCAAGCTTCTTATGGCCTTGTCTCTACTGCTCTGACTTCTAAGCCCTTTCTAAGGTGCAGAGACTCTGATTCTAAGTCAATAAGCAAACGATCAAATGACGAGGGGCCACCTATGTACATCCTTGGGAGACCCCTCCCTTATGGCTGAGCATTGGGAAGGGGGGTTGGGGTGGGAAATGACCCTGACTTGGCCTTGCCTCAGCCCCACAGCCCTTGCAAACTGGAGGTGGCGGCCAGTTTCTGAGTCCAAGCCAAAGCTGGAGGCCCTAAGGATGGATGGCCCTAGGAGGTAAGCATGCTTCCATTTCAGACACACCCAGCTTCAGAGCAAGTCTCCCCAGTCGGTCACAGGGGTGGTGACAATCTCAGATACTTATGGTTAGAAGGAAGGAGGGACATTAGTGCCCTCACTTCATTTCTCCAAATGGAGAAGCTGGGGCAGTGGAAAAGACAAGGCTCACACCAGGTTCCCTGGCCCCAGCTGCCGCTCCTGAACTGACACTGTTGCCCACCTCCATGACCACCTCCTCTCCCAATGCCACCCCCACCAGCACCCTTACAATGCAGAGCACCCCAGTGGTTTTTTGCAGGGCATGACATTGAGGGGCCCTTATTAGGGACCGTCCAGGAAGGACACCCTGCTGGGGGCTTGCCACACACCATATTGGAGGGAAATCAGAAGCAGAAGCCACAAACCAGAGAGCCAGTCTCGCTCAGACGCTCAGGCAGGACCGCAGGGCCCTGGAGCAGGGGAGGAGGTGCGTGGCCAGCCGTGTCTAGGCTGCTGCTGCAAGGCCAGAGCAGGAGACGTGGCTGCTACTGCTGGGAGATATTAGGTCATCAGGAAAGTCATGATGTATTTCTCTATGTGAAAATGTGTCATGACTTCCTGGCAGCCCAATAAACAACCTCCCTGGGTGCTACAGCCGCTGCACCCCGTGGGACACGTGGGGGCAGAAAAAGGTAAAGCCAAGTCATCTTCCAAGCTCCTTCTATGCAGCAGGGGCCAGGCTGGGTGCACAGGGAACCTGTGGTACAACTGCTTATGGGGGTAGCAGCTTGAAAGTTCAGCCACCCAGAGTCACCTCTAGCCCTGTGTCATCTCAGGCCTCCCCTTGTGCTCCTGGACCTCAGGATCTGGCAGTTGGCCAGTTTCCTATAAATCCTGAAGGGGACCTCTCCAGCTCTGGGGTCCCAGCACCCACCCCTTCTCCAAAGCCTGTGCCTCTTTGGACTTCATTTCTTGCCTAGCACCAGGGTCCCAACCTGGGCCGATAGTTCTCATAGCAGAGCCTACAGACTCCCGAACAGTCCTTGTTAACATCAGATGCAGCGACACCATCTATAGACTCAGGACCCTGAGGGGAGACTAGAAACCTTCATGGCAACCTTTACTCGGCGTTTGAGTTCTCCATTGCCGCAGCCCTGCTGAGGAATAGACCACCCCAGATTGCAGCAGCCGGGCATTATGTGCACGCAGCTGAGGGTCAGCAGAAGCTCTGCCATCTGCCCCTCACCCACCTTGATACACGTGCACTGAATGGTCCCTTTCTTGGTAGTGGCGGGAGCACAGGAGAGAGAAGCCTGTGGCCAGATCAGAACTGGCCTGGTTTTTCAGCCAGTGCCCAAGTAAGTCATGGGGACACACCAGCACCCAGGGCAGGGAAATATGCTCTGCCTTTCAGAGGGCATAAGCAAGGTGCACCTGGTGAGGGGCTGGGTGTGGAGTGGGAGAAGATGGGAGCTGGTAGGGCGGCCCCCACGTCACCCTCAGGTGTGAGAACCACTAGGCTCGGGAATGTCCCCTGTGGCTTGCTGGGAGTGAAAGCCTGGCACTCTTCCCCACAGACACCTTGCAGAAGCTCAGTTGGCCGCCACGTGACTTCTCGTCCTTGCCTCCAGGAGCCACAGTTCTCTCATGTGGACCTGTGTCTGCACATTCCTCCACTGTGGCACCCCAGACCGGCAGAGGTTCCTGGGGTGGCATGACTAGAGTCCTTGTGTGTAGGGGGGAACCCGCCCTGACACTATCTTGTCTAGTCAGTGTCTCTATCAGAGGGAGGGCCTGGAAGGAGGCTGCCCTTCCCCAGCAGGAAATGAGTCAGGTCTGTTAGGAGCTCAAAGGAGCCCAATGGTTCACACATAACATCTTCCAAACAGAACTCTCCACCCCTGCCAGACGCATTCCTCTGCCCTTGTTCTACGTCTCCTTAAACAGGACCTCCTTCTGCCCACACCTCTGCCCAGGAGCACAGCTCAGAGATGCCGGAGGCCCTCCAGTCTACACTAGACCAGTAGACTAGCCTCTCCTTTCTTCACTTCTAAATGCAGCTGTAAGCCCTGGAATAACCTAGAGATGACAAAGGAGAGCCCAAAAAATGACAAAGAAGGTCAACTGATTAGGGCCCCAGGGCTGGAGGATCCACACAGTGGCAAGGTGTTTTATGAGCTCCCTTCTCACCTCGCAGAAGAAGGTGACCCAGGGCTGGCACTGCCCCATTCCCTACCTAGCAATGGAGGTGGCCCAGGTAGAGTCATTCCTTCCCTGGCCAAGGGGTGCCCCCTAGACAACCAGCCTGGCAGAATTGGCATGATCGAGTCACAGGGAGCCCCACAAACAATAAGTGACCAGGGAAATTACTCTCCTCCCAGACCACAAGCCTGAGACTCTCCTTGCCAATGGGGAACTGGGGCACCTGCACGGTGATCCCAACGCAATGTGCACCCAGTCCGGGAAGCATCTTCACCCCACAGCTTCATTCATGCAGGTCTGCCTGGCAGTTAGAGCTGAAAACGGTAATAAAAACTCACTTGATGGGCTCAGCAGGAGAGTGAAGAGGAGAGAGGGCCGAATCTGTGGATTTGAGCATAGCTATCAATAATAAAATTGACCCAATATTAGCATCAGAAAACAGATTCAGCATCCACAAAAACCTTCAGGGATATATATGATAACAAAAAATTCTTCACGCATATTTTGTATCATCAGTTTTTCAGAAACAAAGAACTAAGTGGATCTAAAAGAGTATTCCAGAAAACTTCCCATATATGGCCAAAAAAATAAATCTGTGAATCTTCAGATTCAAGAAACTGAGAGAAATCCCAAATAGGATAAACCCAAAGGAACCCACACCAAGATACATCAAAATGAAACTGCTAAAATTAAGAACAAAGAAAAATCCTTGGAGCAGCCACGGGAAAGTAGCATACTACTTAGAGGAGAAATGCCAGTTCAAATGACAGCATATTTCTCATCCGAAATTGTGGAGGCCA